CCAGCCCCTTCTGCAGGCAACTCATCATCGTGGAAAGAAATCTTGTTAGCTTCCACTATTCCTCCAATCGTTGCAGCTAACGTCTCACTTGTAGTCTCTTTTGGAAAGATCACTCCGTTTAACACCTCCATCAAAGCATTCCTATGAGCTTCAGAACTCATAAGCAAAGACCAAATGGATATGTGGGCTGGCGTCTTCTTCAACTGTTCTTCAATCGAATAGTCTTTAGACTGCATCTTCTTCCAAAACTCTGCGGCTTCAGCATCGGTAACATTCTTCTTTGGATTCTGTTCTTTTTTGAGAACTCTTTGATTTAGGTCCTCTGGGGCATAACATCTCCCCGACCTAGTCATCCCTTGAGCCACGGCAGTGTCGATCATTTTGCCTTTGACACTTGCTCGATAGTCCCAAGGGACTGCTTTGGTGTCATACTCGAGCTTCTTAGAACCTAGAGTGGTCACTACAGCTCTTGGGAAATACGTTTGGACAGCCAGAGGTTCCCTTAGTTGAACAGTGATAACAGGTTGCGCCGAAGATGTCATGGCATCTGCTTTATCTATGTTTGGATAACCATGTTGACTTCCCGATTCTCATGGTTTGGCAGGGGATTGTTGTTCACATTGGGAGGTGCTGGAGTGCATTTGATTACTCCTCTCCTGATCAAAGACTCGATCTGGTTCTTCAAACCATAACAATCTTCTGTGTCGTGTCCCTGGACTCCTGAGTGGTAAGCACATCGCTTGTTCCCATCAAAATTATGAGGGATTGGATCAGGAAGTTTTCCTTCAACTGGTTGCAGCACTCCCGCTGTCCTCAACCTCTCAAACAATTGAACATAGGGTTCAGCAATCAGTGTGTAAGCGCGAGCATTTCTAGCTTCAGGATTTGGACGTGGTCTCGGTGCATAAGCTGGTCTATTTTGGTGGATTGGTGCTTGGACAGGGACATATGGTCTTGGAGGGTTTTGGTATGCTGGTGCTCGGGGTGGATTATAGTGTGGTTGGGTATTATACACTGGGACGTATGAAGTATGGGCAGCGATTTGGGGATTATTGGGGTATCGGTGAGATGGTCCTCCTGGTTGGTAAATGACAGCTGAAATATCCTCCCTTTTCTTTTTGATGCCGCCAATGGAACCCGATTGTATAGCCCTACTTGCAGCTTGCAATGCGACCATAGACTGAATCTTCCCAGATTTAACACCTTCCTCTATAAAGTCTCCCATCTTGACCAATTCTGCAAACTTCTGACCCATCATTGACATCATTTTGTCAAAGTAAATACCTTCTTGAGCTCGAATAAAGTACTTCGAGAGCTCACTCTCATCTAGTGGTGGTTGCACCCTCGCGGCCTCAGTTCTCCAACGTCGTGCATATTCCTGGAAATTCTCAGATGGCTTCTTTTGTATATTGGCCAATGAGAATCTGTCAGCAGTAATTTCAGTATTGAATCTGAAACGAGCCATGAAGTCCTCAGCCATTTTCTGCCAGTCACGCCATTTGCGAGGGTCTTGACGAGTATACCAGGTTAATGCTTCTCCAGACAGACTCCGAATGAAAAACTTCATCCTCAACTTCTCATTTCTCCCTACACCGACTAACTTGTCACAGTATGCCCTTAAATGTGCGTGAGGATCACCCTTTCCATCGAACATGTCAAACTTTGGTGGTTTGTACCCTACAGGCATGTCAATGTCTGGATGGATGCACAGGTCATCATAATCCAGACTCTCTGTCCCTCTAGTGACTTGTAAGCTTTTCAATGCTTTTCTCAGACCCTGAAGCTTGGCATTTATCGACGCATCTTCTTTCAACCGAGCGTCTTTCTCCATTTCTTCATATTGATCGACCTCGTATGGGATATTAATCACAGCTGGCGTTGTGAAGGTAGGAACTCCAGCGGTATATACGGGTGGAACACGTGGCTCATAGGGAGCGGCGACATGTACCCCAAGTATCTGCTGCATTGTAGGTATGGTAGGGTCGCGATTAGAAAGGTCGGGAACTGTCCTGACTGCGGTTGGAGAAGCTGGTGGTACTTGACCGTGAGTAGGACCGCGTTAAGTTTGTTCTGGCTGATTTGGCAAGTCAGATTTTGCGAAGTAGATAGGCGTCTTGAAAGTAGGGAAGTGGTTGCCGACAGTTTGGCCAAGTCTCGCACTTGACGCAATTCTTCCCTCAAGATCTCGAGTTCTTGCTCCATGTGAGCCATTTTCTCTTCGTTTTGAATGTCAGCTATACTTACGAGAACTTTCAGGATTCTCAATAGGTACTATTATGTTTGCGGTAGCGTTGAACTCGTCTTTATCATTCATTTTTCCCTTTGATCGAAGGTTGTATCGTGAGTCAGCCAGTTTGCAAGTCGACACAAATCAATGTACTTTTGGGGATAAATGACGAAAAAGAAAAGAAAACAAAGAAAAAGAAAACTATGTTAGTTTGGGAAATATTGAAAGCTGTAACAAATAAGTAGATGTAACACATATATACGCCAATTCAGCGACATTCAAAGCGCTTCCTAATATAGAACCTCTTTTTGCCTGAGGTAGGCCTACGTTGCAATTAGTTTGATAATAAATGATCCATTTAAACACATTTTAGATTTGGAGCAAACATAACTTCATTGATTAAGGTTTGGCTATTACAACGATGTAGGCTGTCAGTAGCCGAAGAAATGAAAGTACAGGGGTGGTCATAAGGCATACAAGAGGGATAGGTCAATTGGCCTTTTGAGGAGCTTATGAGGGAATTCAAAGAAGAAAAATGATCTACGGCCAAGTTGGAGCATCATCATCATCGTCCATGTCATAGTAAGGACCCGGGTGATACTCTGGAGACTCTTCAGGGCTATGCTCGGATGATATGTCTATAACCCCTCCATCCCTTGGGTCATAGACGTTAGAACCTATCTCAGAAACCTCCATGTGATCTTCCCATACTTCTTCTTCTGGGTCCTCCTCTGGGTTTTCTTCAGGATATTCTTCTGGGTCCTCTTCAGGATCTTCCTCAGGGTCCTCTTCTGGGTCCTCTTCAGGATCTTCTTCTGGGTCCTCTTCAGGATCCTCTTCATGATCCTCTTCTGGGTCTTCTTCCTGGATTAAGTAATCGACGGATCCCGGAACTATCTGATTGTACATGGGTGTAGTGAACCCCATGCGAAGAAGCACCGATTTTCTAATCCAATCAATTTGTTGTTTGTCTACAAACCCCCAATGTCTGTGTGCGCTTGGATGAGCCATATGGCTCACGGTATTCCGCCAAGCGTAATACTCTGGCGTACACCAACTTTCTTCTCCTATTTCTAAATCGATTATGGATTCCCACTCGGCTTGCATATTTTTTATCCGTTCCAGCGAGACTGAAGTGAATGCATCTTCATGTGATCCCATTATTGACCATAGCGGAATGTCTTGGATAACTCCAAACTGCCGCATAATCCGAAGAGGTGCATATGGTTGGATGCCTCTGAGCCCGATTAACTCGATAAAGAAAAAGTACCGAGTTCTTGCAAACGCCAATCTTGTTACCCAAGAGAACTTCCATTGGATGGTGTCTCCCGTGAGGTTGTTCAAAAATGTGCGCCATTCTTCCCTTCCTATCAGCGCACCCACCCAATTTTGGAGACGATCTTCGTGGCTTTCGATCTTATTAGGAGCACCTATGTAGTAATCCATTTAGGGATCACGTCGATAGAAATGTTCCCTTGCCCAAATCTGTAGCAATATAATGCATCCTCCGAAGAAATTATGTCCCCTAATGCAGGCTGTCATTGAACGAAGAACTTCGGCGAGAATCATAGGCACCAAAGTAAATCTTTGTGGATCGTTGAAGATGCTTATAACCATCGGCAATATGTTAATGTCGATAGAATTGGACCTTATCGGGAACACCATAACTCCTAAAAAA